GAGAGAGAGAGAGAGAGAGAGAGAGAGAGAGAGATGGCAACACCTCCTCCTTTATTCCCCTGCCTGTCCTTCCTGAGCAAGCTAACCCCTGCCTTGAGCATTATGTGGATGATCTCATTACCTCTCTGTAATCCCAATTGTATCATAATTCTGAGTTTGGACAAGGACAGCGATTTGTCAGTCTTTGTAGATGCAAGGCGCCCTTGTCAGACTTGTGGCACCCCTTAACTTCCCTGAATTGAGTGGCACGCTGTTTCAATAACTAATTTATTTCCGAAAGTGTTTACCTCCTTGCAGAGGGGCCAAGCAGTGGGGACAGGGAAGTGGCCAGGCAGGGAGAACCTGAGGCTACCTTTATCTGCTTGTTACCTCACACTTAGAGCATGAGCCTTTTTCTATTTATTTCTCACATCCTGCAGCACCCTTCAGAGAATCTCACAGCACCACAGGGTGCCCCATCACCCTGGTTGAGAATCGCTGCAATAGGATCTCCAGTTCGTCCTGGTCCCCATGCTTCTTGCATTAGTATATAAACGCTTCGGGTCCTGAGAACATTCCTAAGGCTTGTGTTATTTGCTTGCCCTTACTAAGGTTTTTATCCGTGTCCCCAGGCTCTTTACTTGACTGAGGTTTTTCATAGTTATCTTCTAGTGAACCTAGTTTAAGGCCCTCCTCACTAGGTTACCAAACCTGTATGTAAAGACACTCTTTTCCTGAGCTAGACCTTATCTCCTCCCAGTAGCTCTTTGCCCTGGAGTACCACCCCATGGTAAAAGAAGCTGGAATCCTGCTAGCAACACCGTCTAGGCAGCCATTTGTCGATCTGAAGGTTGCATCTTCTCCTAGACAGACCTTTACACTTGACTGGAAGGATTGATGAGAGCATGTATAAACAACAGTATTTCATTGTGAAACTACAACCCCCTGGGAAAGGTCACATTTTGAGTCTAAATTGATGTGAGGGGGGAAAAGAAAGGTGGGGATAAACAAGATAAGTGTTTAAACCGAGAATCATATGAATGTAGGGCAACTACCTTTTTAAAATGCTTAGGTTGGATGCATCCTTTCCTCCAAACTGGTGGCACGGCTAGAGCAGGACTGGGTCAGATGCGGACTGTCCTCTGCGGGCTCGGGACTCCCCACCCTAGTTCCTTCCCCACCAAGAGCCCCACGCTGGCCATGTGCTCCCTGGCAACAACAGGGGGCACAACTCAATGCCACTGCCACCCCCTCTGGTGCTAGGTGGGCATGGGACACCTCGTCATGGTGGTGTGGGGCTTGCCAGCCCCAAGCCCATAGTGGGCTGCCCATATCTACCCCTGCCCCATGCACAAATTTGGGGGGGAGGCACAAATTTGCCCCTTTGTGGGGGTGTGCACAGTGGTGGGGAGCTGTCCTCCCATGCCCTGTGCCCCCATGACAAGCTTCCTATGGGTCAACTCCATGAACAGCCCAGACTGGGCAGCAGCCCCTTCCCCACTCTCTACCTCACCATGGGGGGGCCTTGATTTGCACCCCCTTTTGTTCCCCCCCATACCTCTTCCTCCCTCATAAACTTAGTGCAGGGAGTTGCTTTTCTTGCTGCCTGGCTGTGTTCCTGGCCACATGCATGTGTGCAGGTGGGCACATACGTGTGTCACCCCCTGCATCCTACTTCTGGCAGCCCCTTGCAGGCTGGAATGCCACCAGCCTGCAAGGGAAAACCTGCCGTTTCCTGTGGCTCCCTGTACGATGCTGCGAATCCAGAACAAATGCTGTCTCAGTTGTGCAGCTCAGGACCGGGACTTCAGGTTTCCATTTCAGGATGTGTCCCTCCCAATTCGGCACCGGTGGTCACCCTTAGAGGTACACTGATACATTGGTTTGATACTGGACCAGCACCGATTATAAAGAAAGATGTCTATATCGGAATTTGACTGATAAATGGTCCATGCATGCATGCAGCCGCAACCCAGCACATAGGCAGTGAGGAGCACAGCCAGCAGCATGGAGAGCTGTGTGCAGCTGGTAAGTCTGGTGTGGTGGAAGGAGAAGGGCTTGGGAGGGCAGATCAAAGCTTCCACGGTGAGGAGGAAGTTGGGCAGGGCCTGGGGCAGGCGCTCCCCAGCCAGGGCGGAGGGGTGTGTGATGGAGCCACGGCTTGTCTGGGGGGCACGGAGAGGGGGGAGCTCTTGCCACCGCGCCATTGGTCCAGGAGGGGATGGGGGTGGGGTGTGCCCCCAGATCGGTGCGG